TTCCTGGAGGGATTCATCAGAAACTGTCCTCCTGGGAGGTTAGACCTCACTTCTAGAATCTAGATAGATCAGCAGGATGTCAACTTTCATCTGGGTCCAAATGTGAGTCAAAGAGTTGGGATCGTTCTAAAAGGAAAGATTCTAGTGACAGGAAGAAGAACTGACATAATTTCCTACTGGTTTGCGGTGGTTGTGGCCAAAATACCCACTTTGGAAACCTCCCCAAGTTCTGATCAAGCTGAATTTGTATCTGAATGACTGTCCAGGCTGTGATCTTTTCTGTGGTGGTCAGAGAAGGTTTTAGGAGGATTCTTTCACTGTTGACTCTTCCTTAGAGGAGGAAGCAGTTTGTTAGATGTCCTTCAGGCACTAAATATCTGCCTCGCCATTGGAGAGAGGATGCCCAGAAGAACAGGGGGACAGAAGAACAGAGCTGAGCTGGAGAGGTCATTGGGGGAGTGGGGCCTTGCCAATACTGGAGCAAAGACTTCTCCAGTGGAAAGGAGTGTGTGCATTTCCTGGGAAGAACACTCCAGCCACAGGGCTCAGTCAGTTTAAGGCCCTGCAGGACTAATGTCCTTGGCTGTTTGTAGATGAGAGAGGAGGCAAGTGAGGCTGGAGTGGCTGAGCAGGCTGAGGGAGAAAGAGGTGAGATTACAGAGGAAATAGATGAGGGTGGGAGCAGGTAAAGAGGATGAGGACACTGGGCCCTACTTTCTGCAAACTGAGGAAAGGCATTTGACTAGAGCCCATTTCAAGAAGCTGCACGAGGGGCCACTGAGTGCTTCTCAGAGACTTGGGGGACAGGGGATCAGGACAGTTCCGCAGGGCTATTTAGGAAGATCCAGAATCTGTACCAATGCTCTGGTGCTCCAGCAAGCAGATAAAATCTGAGGAGGGGGCCTTTTGAGTCCACCATGTCAAAGAAGAAGCGTGATGCCTGCCTCTTGTTGCATAAAACATCCTACTCTTTTTCAAACAAGGGGAAGCGTAACCAAATGCTGGGAAGGGGGCTGTGGGGGAAAGCCAGCAGAAAACATGGCTAGGACACTTCTTAATATTCATACTTATTGACAACCTGGCATCTGGCACACAGCACTGCATCCAATTACATGCCTGTTGAAAAGAGTTCTCTCCTTACACGTTTAAATAATGACTATGGGCACAACTTTGGTGTAAAGATACAAATTAAAATTTGTTAAAATGGCTCGCCTGGATACGTGGGAGGTGGGCAATTGTCAGCACCTCCATTTAAAAGCACACGGCACCAGCTACAAGAAATATTGAATGTATTGTTCGTGAAGACTAACAAATATACTTTTGGCACATCATGTGCAGGACATCAGAGGCATTTAGTTCCATTTAGTTTACAGATAGAGAAACTGAGGTCTAGAAGGGACTTGTCCATTTTTTTTAAATGACTCAGGGTTATCGTGATTGCAAATAAATTCCTCTAATGGCCCTTGGCTTTCACTATAATATTAATGAGCTATTCTTCTTAAAAGAATGACTCATCAAAAGCAGGGCAGACTGACAAGCAGCTTTTGGGATGGCACTGAAATATTCCCATTCCAACCACACTCAATGTATGTCCAGTTGGTGTTCCAAGACCACTCACATTGGGTCCTGGCCTAACCAGGACGAGATAAGTGAGTACAGCCACTTGGCACTGCCCCTGTCCTTCACCCTGCCATCACTGGGGAGTCCACTGCCTTATCTGGGAACCCCTCCTCTTCTTCCATCTCCATAGCCAACCAGGAAACTCAGGCTACAGAGGATAATCCCAGAGATGAGACAAGAAAAAAAGAGCTAAATTGGAACACAGGTGTCTTGAGTCCCAAATCTTTGTGAATCCCAAATCGCCAGGCATTCCTTTGAATTATAATTTGGTTGGGGAGATTGAAAGCAGGAGTCATTTCCTTCTGAAAATGCATTGCCTCTTTGTTCCGCTGTGGTAGCATCAGAAATGGGGAGTTTGTGAGTATAAGGAGAGAGAGAGAGATGTGTGTGTTGCCTGTAAAGAGTTCCAAATGCTCCCTAATAATCAGCCAAGGAAATGCTAAAACTCCCATCTCCTTGGATTGACTGCTTCTCGCCCCCAATGCCTAGAACTAGACTGGTAGATGGAGCCTTTGGCTGGCCCCTCCCAGCCCCACACTCACTCGGGCAGAAGAAATCCGGTCTGATGCAGCCTCAGGCAGGCACTGAGATTGGGGGGGGAGGGGGGAGCTTGGAAGGCAATAGCCAGGGAAAGTGGGTCAAAAATTCTTAAGCATGGGAGGAAGGCAGGGAGCAAGGTAGCACTGTGATCTAGCTGTACTTCTCAAACTTTAACGTGCCTGTAAGTTACTTGGGGGCCTGCTACAGGGAGTTTTTTATTCTCTTTGGGCGGGGCCTAAGATTCTGCATTTCTAAGTAGCTCCCGGGTGGTGCTGGTGCCGCTGGGCCACAGAGCAGCAAGGCTCTGACAGAACCAGAGCCCCAGAGGCCCCTGAGTGCTGCACACCGAGCCCTGGTCCCAAGATGTGAATTCTCTCCAGCAGAGCAGATCCTGCGCTTCTGGCATTGATGAAGGGTGCTCTCTTTTTGACCAAAGGAAGCTGGAAGGTGGCCAATTAGCAAGATCCTTCTGGTATTCTTGATCTTTGGAGCAACCTGTTATAGCTGAAAGAGCATTTTTAATTAGACCAAATTATCCCGTTTGGCTGTGCATAGAAATCAAAGCCCCAGCTGAAACGTCTGCTTCATTTTGCTAGCGTGGAAATGGCTGTGTGCTGTGGCTTTTAAGACGCTAAGCACTGCCTATGGGCATATTTTGTAGGGAAATAAACATATAGCCCAATAAAATATAGAGTGTGGTTTTAATATATTGTACACTCACTTATTTATGAGGGGAATTAACACACAAGCCAATATAAGCTGTGCATTATTACTTTAATATATTGAATTTATTTCATACCTATATATTTTACGAGGAAAAATAAACTAATAAGACACACGATGTTGTTAGAACGCGTCTAATTGTTCTATATTAATTTATTTGTGAAAGAAATGCGTGCCATTTAACATGACATAAGATTATTTAGTGCAGAAGGTGAATTCTATATTAAGACAGTTTAAGGGATTAAATTTCAGTTGAATAAGATGTGTGTACTTCCCACACGGAGGGTCCAGTTAAAAAAAAAATACTATTCAGAGGCCTGTCTCTATGGCATGATCTATGCTGGCTTCTGGCTTCTCCTGACAGTTGGTGCCTGTTGGTGCCCGGGACTCCAAGGCCTCGGCCTGCTGGTCCAGAAGAACGTCTGGGAGGCCCAAGAAATTAGCTGATTTTAGATCCTGGCAGCATCTGCCAGGGAGGCAGCCCTGCGGTGTCTGTTTCTGGGCCTGAGAAATATTAAATAAACCTGAGGAGGATGGATGGCTTCCCAGGGCCCTCTAAATCTCCGCGTCCCCCGGAAGAAAGCAGAAGGCAGATGGGGAAGATCGATCCTGGCTTCCCGCTCACGGGCTTTGCAAGCGGCCAGGCCTGGGAGGTGGGGGATCGGAGATGGTGTGGAGATGGCAAATGAAGTTGTTGGCAGAGACAGGTGGGTCTGCATTTGGAGAAAGCGCTGGGCAGGCTCCACTCCCAGAGCGAAGCATCCCAAGCCCGAGCCGCCCCCGCAGACCGACTGGGGCCTGCAGGGCCCGCGCGCCCTCCCCTCCGCCTCCATCCCCGCGCGGACCCTCCTTCCATCTCGCGTCCTCGGCATCCATTGGGCTCATTTAAAAATAAAATAAAATAAAGCAAAAGCTGGAAGGAGACTCGCTGACTCCCTTTCTGCACTGAACGACCCAGAAAGGAGAAAGGGGTGCGGGGCGGGCCCCCCGGCGGGACCCCGCGCGCCCCAGAGCAGCGTCATGGCGCCTCTGCCCTCGCCTCCCCGCCGCCCAGCCCAGCGCCATTTTGAGCATCTTCCCTGCTTCCCCGTCTCCCTCCCGCGCCCCTCGCTCTCCCTTCCCTCCCCGCAGCCCAGCGCCTGCCGAGCGGCCCGGGCTCCGGGGGTGGTCGCCCGGCGCCCCGCGGACGCTCTCCTGGCCCCAGAGCCATGCGGGGCGCAGAGCATCGGCGCCGGCCGCGCCGCCTGCCTCCGCGGCTCCTTCCCGCCCACGTGAGGCCCTTTATCCTCCGGGGCCCGGGCCCGGGGCTGCTTCCCGAGAAACGCCCGACGCCCACTCCCTCCGCGGGGCCGAGCCCCAGGCGTCCTGCGCGCCGGGGAAACCGTTAGGAGCGCGGCAGCTTAGAGCCGGGAGGCCCCGGGGACCACCTCCTCCCCCCGTTTCCATTCCATCCCTGCGGCCTGGACCCGGGCTCCCACCGCGGGTCCGCGGCCTCCTCTCCCCGCACCCCACCTTCCTAAGCGGGGGGCCCTGGACACGGGCGCGGGGGCCAAGGCCATCGGTGGGGCGGTGGCCCAGGGGGGCTGTTTTTGTACCACCCGGACCGGACCGAGCCAGCCCAGGACCAGACCGATTCCGGGGAGAACCGAGGGCTTCGGGGGAAGGGGCTGCGTCCCAACACAAACACTCGTTTTCATATAATAAAGACATTTATTTAATCTATGAAAATAATGTACAATAAATACTCTCCCCTCTTCCTATTATTAAAGAGTTTTAATAAATAATCTACGGTCTAAAACTTAAAAAAAAAAGTGGAAAATAGGCTCATCTAGTTCTTTTTTAAAGAAAAGTCCCCCATCCCCCCCAAATCCCCCTACAGTGTGATTATTCCTGAGATTTCGTTGGAAGGAGTCTATCGAACGGAATGTTTCTGTGGTTTCAAAAAGACACCCAGGTATCTCATATTTTAAAGAGAAGAAAGGAAGTGGGTGAGACGCTAATTCAATAATACCTGAATTTTAGCAAAATACATCGAGAAGTCGGAACCACTTGGGGGTCGGGGGGGGGGTTCTGGGAGGCGGGGAGGGGGTGCAGAGAGGCCGGGAGGAGGAGGGGGGTCAGGGGAACTGCAGATCGATGGCACAGAGGGTGCTGGTAAAGAAGTCCAGGTCCTCCTCGGAGAAGGGAACCGGGCTGTGGAGCGAGCCCTGCGGGCCGGGGGAGAGGCCTCCGGACAGCGGGAGGCAGGAGTCGGCCGCGAAGAAGTTGAGGTCGGGCAGGAACGGCGAGTCCTGCCGCTCCGGGAAGGCCTCCTCGGGCAGCAGCTCCGGGTCCAGCCCGCGGGGCCCGCGCGGGGCGCAGCCGGGGCTCGGCGTCCCCGCGCCGTCGGGGCGGGAGGCCACAGGCGCGGGGGCGCACGGAGCGCCCGGGAGGCCCGGCGCGGCCTCGGACGGGTGCGAGCAGGCTTCCCGCGGGGCGGAGAGGCGGCCGGGGCTGGCCGCGGGCTCCGGGGCGGGCTCGCCGGTGTCCTCCAGGGCGCCCGGGCCGGCCGGCTCCCCGTCGGGCGGCTCCCGGTGCTGCGTCTGCCGCTTGTGCTTCATGCGGCGGTTCTGGAACCACACCTTGACCTGCCGCTCGGTGAGGTCCAGCAGGGCCGCGATCTCCACGCGGCGCGGCCGGCACAGGTACTTGTTGAAGTGGAACTCCTTCTCCAGCTCCAGCAGCTGCGTGTTGGTGTAGGCGGTGCGCAGCCTGCGCGCCCCGCCGCCCGCCGCCTCCGCCAGCCCAGGGCCGTCTGCGGGGAGAGGGACGGAGCGTCAGAGCGGCCCGCATCCTCCTCCTCCTCCCGACCTCAGCTCAGAGCGGCCGCATCCTCCTCCTCCTCCCAGCCTCAGCTCAGAGCGGCCCGCATCCTCCTCCTCCTCCTCTTCCTCCCAACCTCAGCTCAGAGCGGCCGCATCGCCCTCCTCCCAGCCTCAGCTCGGCTGCAATAAAAGGCTCTCCCATCCGCCGCCAAAGAGCAGCAGCTGCGCCCTTTTCCTTCCCGCCCACCGGAGCGGCTCGCTCTCCCGGCTCTCCCTCCTCTCCCGTCCCTCTCGCCCGCACAGCCGGCCCGGGTCAGGGCAAAGCATTCAGAGAGCCGCCCACGGGCCGGGCAGGGGTTAGAGCCGGCTTCCCTTTGCCCGCCCCCCGCTCCCCGGAACCTCAGAGCCTCTCCCCCTGGTCCTCCGAGGGGACCCCTTCATTCGGACTCCACCCGGGGAGGGCGTCTATAAAGGAAAGATGGTTCCTCGTCTCCTTTCCTCCCTGGCTCCCCGATTCTCCCTGGAGCTGGGGGAAATGGGACCGAATCTCTTCCTGTCCTCACATTCAGCCCCAACAACAGTCCCCCCTCCTCGCAATGAAGGGCAATCGAATTCCCTTGCAGCAGAGAAAAGGCTCTTCCCCAGCCAGCGCCCAAAATCTGCGGGGGGAAGCGGGGTGGGGGTGGGGGGAGAAACCCGGCAGCGGCCGGGCCTGAACCCCAGCGGTCTGTTCTGCCGCCTCGTCGCCGAAATCAACGGGGCAAGGAGCCCCAACGGGCTCGCCACCTTCGCTGCCTCCCCCATCGCTTTCTCCCCCCGGCTCCCAGCCGCCCTTCACCCACCCCTGCCGCCCCCGCTACTGACCTGTGGGCGAGCCGGCCCCGGAGGCTGGGGCGGAGGAGGCGGCCGGGGGAGACGGCGCCGCGGGGCCGGGCTTCCTGGCGGATTTCTTCTCCCTCATCCAGGGGAACTCGGGGGCCCGGGGGGCGGCGGGCGGCGGCGGCGGCGGCGGCGGAGCGGGCCCATCTCCGGCTGGCTTTTGGCTCCCGGGTCTCTGAAGGGTGGAGGCGCCGAGCTGGAGGCTGGGGAAGGTTTGCTCGCAAGGAGGAGGAGGAGGAATTAATGTCGACTCCTTGATTGATGAAGTTTGAAATGTCTCCAAGACAGCGGGGAAGGAAGTCAGACACTCGGCGAGCGATGGCTGGCTGTTTATAAACCCAATCTCCCTCTCAAATTCAAAATTCATGGCTTTCCGTGGTGGGGGAGGGGGCCTGCTGGGGGGGCGTCAGGAGGGAGGATCGGAAGGGACCCCCCCTCCTGCCCGCCCCCCAGGTTTATGTGATGGAGCGATTTTGGGAGGGAGGGATTTTGCTGTCTCTCTCTCTCTCTCCTTTTTTTTTTTTTTTTTTTTAATTTTGGGCCTTTATAATTGTATATTGCCGATAAATACTAGCGTATGGGGATTCTCTCTATTAAACCCAGGACTCTGGCGAAATTGCAGGGAATTCGTGGTCACGGGACCAGACTCGGCCAATCGCTGGTCTGGGCCTGGTGGAAAACAGAGAGCATTATTTGCTTTAATTGATTCAAAAACTCTAGAGGACCCCCGACCTGGACACCATGAGCCCCCCAGTCCTTCACTTCCTCTCCCCAATGCCTCCCTTTCTTGAGAGAGAGAGAGAGAGAGAGAGAGAGAGAGAGAGAGAGAGAGAGAGAGAGAGAGAGAGAGAGAACATTTCCCTCATCCCCTTCAGAGAATCAAAATCCTCCAGAAACCTGGAAAGCAAGAGTATCTAAGGGAGAGATTTTCCTCTTTTCGAATTATTTTAATAGAGTTAATTGCTTTCTGTCCATAGCCAGCACATCTTCTCCCACCCCCAAAAAGGAAGGCTGAGCGAGGATCTCACTGTGGCAGGAAAAGGCAGCCTTTGGGGAAAGTGGGTGTTCAGGTGCAATAAGGAAGAGGAGAGATTTACAATCATCAGCACCGCTAGCCCCATCCCACCCTCCAAAAGCAACAGATAAATCCTGGGAAATCGACAGGCATTCCCAGGCTGACACAGGGGAGTGAAATAGATGGCGAGAGGCCTCTGGCCTCCAGAGCTGTGTGGTCTCACTTCCCCTTCTGCCCAGTGTTTGCAGCTCTGCCCCTGTCCCTGTGTCCATCCGCCTCACCTGCCTTCCCCACCTGGAGGCAGCGGCAATCCTCCAGGACACGCCCCTTCAAGGACCGGGGTCTAAAATGCATGGCACCACTCAAGCCTCAAGCCTGTGTCTGTATCTGGATCTATACCCAGGAACATGAACAAGAACCAAGGTGGCCACCCATTTATTTAACTCAGAGCATTCTCAAAGTTGGGGTGAGGGGATGGATTTTTTCCCCTAGGACAAAGAGATGCCCCCTCCTATTTTTATCATTGTGCTAGTTTAAAAAAAAAAAAAAATCACTGTCAAGAAAGAATTCCCTGAACATGGAGGAGGTGGAAATAAGGACCACTGAAATAATATTCCTTTCCTGGCCCCAGAGGGAATTTTTGTGTTGTTTTTTGTTGTTGTTGTTTTGTTTTGTTTTGTTTTGTTTTTAAATTTATTTTAAAGGGATCCAGATAGTGGGAACTTGAGGGCGTGCTGCAATTTACTGCAGGGAGGAGGCCCAAGACTTAAGGTTCCAAGCAATTGGTGGGTAAACCAGATCTCCAAGCAGAAAATGAAAAGTCAATCTGGGGGAAGATTTTTAAATAATTGGGTCAGAGGGACGGGAGAGGAGATGAGGCGATCAATCTTAGCCCCCTGACAGCTCCCTCGGATGGCATCAAAGAATTTGGCTCTTTGGGAAGGCAGAGGGAGCAGCCGAAATTCCCCATCCCTTTAAAAGGCTCGGGGGTGGGTGGTAGCAGCACAAGAGAAAGGTGATGCCGGGAGAGGGGGAAACAGATGGGAAATGGGGACAGAGGGTCGGGGCGCTGAGTTGGGTGGAAAGTTTGTCTGGAGAACTCCCACGGCTCCGGCCTCCCCTCCCCCTCCCGGCTCCCAGCTGCCCAGCCAGGAGGAGAAAGGCTGCTTAGCAGAGACATGGCAACTCAGCCGGGAGCTGGAACTGGAAACTTTCTGTCAATGCAAACGGCCGCGTGGGTGGCGGTGAGTATTCATCCGCGTGGGCGGTGGTGAGTATTTAAAAAAGGCTGAGCTCTCTGCATCGAGGGTTGGGGCTGGAGGTTGGGGCCCGCTGGAGGTGGGAGCTGCGGGGACAGGGGTGGCCGGTCTGGCAAGCTCTGGAAGGCTCAGAGAACTGCTATGACCTGGACAAGCTGGCCAGGGACGGCTATGTCCAGCTCAGCGCCAAAGAAAGCACCATTTACCCGTTGGAGGCGTGGATGGGGGCGCGGGGAGGGGGGCGGGGGTGCACAGAAGAACCCGGCTGAGTGCAAGTTGTGCAGTGAGGCCTGAGAGCCGCCCCTGGAAAAGCCCCGGAAGGTGGTTCCCGGGCTCTGGCGCTGGCTGCAGGGTCGAGGGCTTGTGCCTGTCCCTGCAGGAAATACGGCTGCGCCTAACCCCGCTGACAGGTTTTACTGCCAGATTAGAGAACAGCAGAGAACTTGGGTGTTAAAAGGGGCCAAGAGAGCCCTCCTTCCCCCGCCCCCTGTTGTGCTGTGGATCTTACAGCACAAGATATTTGCGCCAGGACTTTGGCTGCTGAGCTAGCGCTGGAGTCTCTCAAGAAAAAAAAAAGGAAAGGAAAAAAAGGGTGGGGGACACCAAGCTAAGCCCGCCTTATTGCTCTTGTTTGCCAACCAGCTTGAAGCCAAAGCTCTGGTTTTCAAACTCAAGCTCCATCCTGGCTCTTGGCCTACCTCTCTCTTCTGCTAACTAATCAGCCCGCCTCACTCCCCAGAGCCAAACATGGCGCTTCATCCAGTTACATCATTCAGAAAACGTTACTCCGGGAAGAGGAAAAGGGAGAAAGAAAAAAAAAAAAACCCTTGAGCGTTATTTGATCCCAATCAAACTTTGCACGCTCTTGTGCCTTTAAATTATAGCCTGACCCGATACTAAATTGCTTGCTGCTTGGATGAGCCGAGTCCAGTTAAAATCCTACTGGGGTGGGGGTGGGGGGGTAGCACTCAGGTTGCTTTTTTTTTATATATATTGTTATTTATTGTTGCATAAAGACTGTAATTACTAACCTTGGACTGCCAGGATGCAACATAAAAATGAAAATCAGCCCTCGCTTTAAGGCGGAGGGCCTGCAAGGATTCTCACCGACAACCCAACCCCCCCGCCCCCATCCCTTCCACCAAATATATGCTCCTAATTAAGCAATGCCTGCGCATCGCTTACAATTAGAATTATGCAACTCTTCAGCGAGCAGCCATCGCTTCCCTTTCAGCGAATTAGCTCCATATTTCAGCCGCCCTGTCTCCCTCGCTCTTATCGACTCCAGCGACGCAGCGGTGACATTTCATCTTTGACAGAGCCTCTCTAGCCTCGCTCCAAACGTGATAAAACTTTTATGGAACCACGACTAAGAAATGACGTTTTCCTGAGGATCGTGGCAACAGCCGCCCAGTAGCCCGGGGACTATTTTATTGACGCTGAGATCCAGCAGCGTCTCCCGCCCTCCTCCTCCCCTGCCCGGCTGGGGAAATCAAGGCGCCTCGTACCCCCACCACCACCCCCGTTTTTATTTAGTAATTTAATTTCACTTTAGTTTTAAGATTTGACCTTAGAAGTCCAGGCCTCAGATTTTTTTTTTTTTTTAGATTAATCATTTTCCTTTGTTTTCATTTTAGACCCAATGGTGGTTGGGCTGCGGGTCACGTGATGGCTTCTTTGTAGCTCCGGAAGAGGACTGTGAAGTTTAGGTGGCTGGGAAGGAGCGGCAATCTGAGGGTGTTGTTGTTGTTGTTGTTGTTGTTGGGGTGTGGGGGCTGGGTAAGGAAGTTGTAGCCAAATGATCAAAAAGACAAAAAAATGGTCAATGAGGGAGAAAAATGGAGAGGAAAAAAAGCCAAACAGAAAGACCTAGAGAGAGCACCCAAGAGTCCTCCTTCCTCCCATCTTGTTTCTTCAATCTTAGCTCGAGGAGTTGGCAGGATAGCCCAGGCTCCTACAGAAAAGCTACATAAACATGAGACACAGCCAGGGGAGACAGGCGCCGGAGCGGGGGACAAAAGGGCCAGGAGAGGGTCTCCAGTGTCCCCATTCCCTTGGGGGAAATTTGGCAGTCAGCGGCCTCCCTCCGCTATCTAAATTGGACCATCAGGACAAGATAAAATTGATAACAGAAAGTTTATTTAAGAATTGTTTGACAGACAACCCTTTTAAGTAAGGAAAAAAAAGTAACTACGGAAGAACAAAGAAAGTTCCAAGAGGGAATTAACTCTAATTCTACAAATTCAGGACTATACAGTGACAATTAGGAGCTGAGTTCATGCCTTTTAGAACTAATTACAATTGCTCATAAGTACGAGTTTAACATAAATCTACAGCTCTTTCCTAGAGTACAATCATAACTAAAATAGCTGGTTTTACATGACAGGAAACACGTCCTTTATAACAAGTAATACTAAAAAAACAAAAAAAAAGTACAGTTTTTTTTTTCCTTTTTCCCTCATATAAATACATAATGTAAGGGGATAAATAATACAAAAAAAAAGAAAATATTTTAACAGGCTATGACCAATAAATATATATGAAAATGTTCACTAGAACACACACTTTTTGAGCGACGCTGGACTCCTGCAGGCCCAGGCACCTCTCACAGTTGTTTTTATATCCATTAAAATGTAAACTCTAAGTGCAACGAAAGTGTCCTGTCAGGGGGTTGAGCAAGGCACACGGGCCCAGCTGCAGCCCCTGCCTGGGACAGACAGTTTGTTAAAATATACCCTGTTTTCACGTTAAGTCAAGAGAGCAACAGAAGAAAAAAGTGTAGAGGAACCTCGTGTCTCCGATTGCTTTCTGTGTGAGGAAGGGGATGGACCTGGAGCTGAGACGGGCGGGCAGGAGGCAGTAGAATGGGCAAACCCTCAGTCCTGACAATTTGCCTGCCCTCAACCTCCCAGCTTTTCCATAAAAGAAAAAAATATAGATATTTATAATATAGACAGCTTTGACTTTCAAGATCTCTCGCCATCCCTGAGCCCTCTGGAAACTGTAATTGATGGGGTCGGGGTAGAGATATTAATGTCCTGGAGCAGAAAAATATGGTGCTACAAGGGAGTGCCCAATTAACTCAGAGAGATGGGAGGACAGTGGAGACTTCGGGGAGGTGGGAGGGGTTGGTGCTTGGTGCCCCTGGCTTTGAAACGTTTCCTAATTCTTTTTAAAGGAGAATTGCAAGGTGGGAAAACAATCAAGATTTGGGGGAAGTACCCACAGAGACTGAAGGTAAGTTGGTTGGTTGGTGATGGCCTAGCCATCTTGTCTGTGTTTTTAAAATGTGCTTCTCTACCTTGTTGCCCTGTCTCCTCCCTCTAGCCCACCCCCAAGCCTGGAATGCCAACTGCATATTGCCAGAGGCCTAGGGTTGATTGCGGGGTGGGGGGTGGTGTGGGGGGTAGGCTGTCATCTCCAACCTGCTGCGGGCCCCTTTTCGGTGGGCAGGCAGACAGATGGCACAAGGGCTGGAGGATCTTTGAAAAGCAACCTCCCAGGCCAAGAAGGGAAGGGACTCCAGGCCCATCCTTCCCAGAAAGCCTGGTGGCCAAGTCCCTGCCTCTTCCTTCAGACCTCCAGGCTCTCCCCCACCCCCACCCCTTGACCTCCTCCCTCGGCCCTCCCTCTCCCATCACAGGTGCGTTAACTTGGGCGCTTCTTGGATTCTACCCTGAGGAGGAGGAGGAGGAGGAGGAGGAGGCGCATGGTGAGAGGAGAGGTCTGTGTAGGTGGGGTGGGGGTCGCAGGGTCCGTGGTGCTGGCTGGGGGCCATCGGGGGCGCCCCGTTGTAGTCCAGGCTCCCCGAGGGGTGGTGGGTGAGGTGGTTGAGGCCGTAGAGGGAGGGGCCGGCAGGGGGCGGCAGCGGATCCACGTAGCCGCCCCCGCCCACGTAGCCCGGGCTGCCCTGCATGGCGGGCGTCCCGTAGGCCGCCCCGTTGGCCGGGAGGACGTGGGGCTCGTACTCGGGCGCCGGCGTCGGGGGGTATTTCTGCGGGGGGGCGACGCCGCAGCCTTTGAGGGGCGGCTGGTAGCTGGGGGGCAGCGCGTAGGCGTTCGGGTGGGCTTTGCCGAAGGCGGGCGGGGACGGGCTCTCGTAGCTGGGCGTCATGGCGTGTAAGGCGTTCAGGAAGCCCGCGGTGGACTGCATGGGCTGCGGGGGGCTGCCGGCGGGGGACGGGCCCCCCGAGGACGAGGCCAGGCCCTTGGCCTTCTGGTCCTTCTTGTACTTCATGCGCCGGTTCTGGAACCAGATCTTGATCTGGCGCTCGCTGAGGTTCAGCAGGTTGGCCATCTCCACGCGGCGCGGCCGGCACAGGTAGCGGTTGAAGTGGAACTCCTTCTCCAGCTCCACCAGCTGCGCGCTCGTGTAGGCCGTGCGGGCCCGCTTGGACGCCGCCGAGCCCGGGGGGCTCCGGTCCCCGCCCCCGCCGCCGCCGCCGCCGCCTCCTCCTCCTCCTCCACCGCTTCCTCCTCCTCCGCCGCCTCCTCCGCCTCCGCCTCCTCCGCCGCCGCCGCCGCCGCAGCCCTCCGCTGGATCCGAGGGGGAGGGGCGGGAAGGGGAGAAAATGAAATAAAGGATAATTACTGAACACGCCGAAATTGAATGCATCGTTTCTTAATAAATCCAGGCCTGGACTCGGGTCCCCCGCCGCCTCCCCTCCCCGTCCCCGCCTCCTCCTCCTCCTCGCTCCCATCCCTCTCCCCCCACCATCTCCCCCCCCCCACGCCCGTCGCATTAGCGGCCACTCTATAATAGTGGCATTTATTAAGAGACCTGTTCTCCTCTCGCTGCCCCAGCTTATGAAAATTTGATCATGTCACGCAGACCGAGAGCCACATGGCCGTTTATGTAGGGCTGGATTTTTCTCTCTCTCTCACTCGTTCCTTCTCCCCCATCCTTAATTCCAGGTCTGGGGAGACACCTCCTCCCCCCCCCCCATTTCCTGCCCCTGCCTGTGACCAGGATGGGTGGCCCAGGAGGACCCTGGAGGAGTCAGGACATCCGTGGGCAGGACACGGGAGCGTGCGGCGCGAAGAGGCGGCCGTAGCCCACAGGCCGGGACCCCGGGGCCGCCCCAGCGCGTGTGATTAATACCCGCAGTGATCATACTTAATAATAATCAATCGTGGGCGGCTCTGCGTCTGCCGGCAGCAGCGTCTCCAGGCCCGGCGGCCTGGGCAGGGCCGAGGCCCAGCGCCCGGCCTTTCTGGAGCTCTCAGAGCTCGGGTGGAGGGTGGAGGGTGGCCGGGGGGAGAGGGTGTCGGTGGGGTCAGGGGTCACCAGGCGGTGGGAGGTCAGGGAGCCGCACCTCCACCTGATATTGTTTGGGGGCCGCCCGCCGCCGCCGGGGCGCCGCGGGGCTGGTGCTAGAATAACAGGGACATTCCTGGCCCCGGACAAAAGCGCAGAGAGCCGGTACCTGTGCCGGGGGAGCTGCTTTTCAGCTTGGACGTTTGCCTCGACTCTTTCATCCAGGGGAATATCTGTTTGGTGAGGGTGGCGTTGGCGCCGGGGCCGCCTTTGGGGGGGCCGCCCTTGCCGCCGCTGGAGGTGCTGGTGGGGGCGGCGCTGGGCGGGGGCGAGCCGGGCGGGGCGGGCAGCGGCTCGGGGGCCAGGCCGGGCCTCATGCAGCTGCCGCCGTTGAGCTCCTTGGCCTTGGCGTGCGGGCCGGCGCCGCCCAGGGCCTGCAGCGAGCACGCCGCGCGCTGGTAGTCGCCCTCCAGGTGCGCGGCGGCGGCCGGGAACGGGGCCTGGGGGGCGCCCTCGTAGCCGAAGCCATTGCTGCCGGGGTACGAGGAGTAGCCTCCGAAGAGGGCGGCCGAGGCGCTGCTGTCGTAGTAGGTGGCTTTCTGCATCGCTGGGCGGGACCCGGGCAGCGGGGGGCGACTTGCGAGGGCCTGGGACCCTCACGACCGGACATTGGCACCCCCGGGGGTCACGTGGGGCGCCGGACCCCCCCTCCCCTGTCCGCCCCCCTCCTCCCGGGGTCTGTTCGGAGGGAGCCGCTGGCTGACCTGCGGGGGGGGAGAGAAGAGACACAAGGGGGAGAAGAGGACTGGGGCTCGAATCCATCTTAGAGACTGAAAAGGGAGCTGACATCAATAGGGATTTTTTTCTTCTTCTCCCCCAACCCCGACATCTTCACAGCAGATGCTGAGGCAATGGATTTTTCTGATTTCAACGCTTTAATTTTAAAGTAAAAGCCCGCCGGTTTTCATTGCCACGTCAGGATAAGGACTGTACACACCGTTGGGGTCTGGCTAGGGATGGAATCCTTTGACTTGCTGCAAAAGTCCCTGCTTTCTCTCCTGCCAGCACACTAGCCTCTCACCTCTCCTCCTCCCTCCTCCTAGCTCCTCCACCCCAACTCTGGAGAGGGGGGCTCCAGGGGGGTGTGGGGGGGAGAGACTGGGAGACTCTAAAAGCATCAGCAATCCCCTTCTCTCGGAGCTCAGGCCTCCTGCCTCTGCCTCCCTCCCTCCGTGTCCATCCAGGTCTCTCTCACCCACGCAGAGGCTCAGCGGAAGGAAAAAAACGGCTCCGAGAGATCCAGGAGGAAGCAGCGTGGTGAGCAGAGAGCCTTCTTGGGGAAGGGATCCTCTCGGCTCACCAAGACAATAACAAAGGCCTGACCTAGAAACTTCCTGGAGACTTTTCACCTCGGGAACCAGAGAAACCAGGCTTTTCCCACGTCCCTGCTCCAGGTACCACCTCCTCCAGCCTGAGTCCTGGCCCAGCCAGGTCTGGGACGGGGCCAGCCGCCCCCAGGGGGGTCCCCAAATGGAGCAAGATTGGGTCAATTCCCTGGCCCCGCTGGTCGGTGCTGTGACCATTTGGCCCAGATCTCCGCTCTCCATTTTTTTCACGGGACTTAATTTTCCCCACCCTTTTCTTGACAGTTTGTTCCCTTTGACTCCTTCAAGAGAAGAGAAGAAAGAAACTGGATAACTGCTGGACTTTTCTACCAAGAGAGGGGAAAAGACTTTCTAAAAGAGAAAAAAAAATTCCCTAGGCAAAAAAAAAAAAAAAAAAGTCAATAACAATATTATTCTCTAGCTGGGTATCTTACCCCTGTTTATTAAAGTTCTCTGGGGCAAATTTTTTTTAAATAAAATCATTTTTTTCATGCAGCCTTTTAAAAGTGTGCCGGGAAAATAAAGGTTCAAGCTGTCATAGGATTGTTGTATATTTCTTCTGAAACTTCTGACTTCATCCCCCCCTCTTCCCCAATGCCTCCCCATCCCTTTTCTCATAAAACCTCCAGCCTGACCCTCTCTCCTGACATGTGAGTTTGGGATCCTTAAATCTCACTCAGCCCAGCTGGCAAACTCCAAAGAAAACTTAAAAAATAGGAAAGGAAAAAAAAAGAAAAGTGTAGGTGAAGGAAGTCCCTCCCACACATAAATCTCCTTCTTCATCGCACAGATTTATACTCAAAAGACAGACAGCCGGGGTGGCCCTGAGTTCCGATTGGCTTCCGGGAAGAATTTGTTCCTGGAAAATACACACACACCGGCCTGCGAGCAGCAGGTCCTTTCAGGAAAACGGGAGTCCACGGACCAGCTGACCCAGCCCCCGGATTATTATTACCACCATTCGTCTCCGATGATTCAACCAAAATTAGCTTCGGAGCTGCCGCCCTGGCTGAAGGGGGAATTAATTAGCAGGCATCCGTTGAGTTTGTGATTAATAGATAGGAGAATAAAATAAGATAAAAATAAAAACGTTGGAGGGGGCTGGCTGGCTGGGCCCTGGCTTTATTTGGTCTAAATGATGGTTACAGCAGTCATGGGGATGAGGAGGAGGAGGAGGATAATAAAGCCATAATTTGAGGCCCAAATTCCTGTCGCTCCCCCTGCAATAGACCCGCAGGGCCGAGGCCGGGGAGTGTGGGAAGCGGAGGAGCCGGGAGCGCGGTCGGCGAGCGTGGAGCCTCCGCCGCCGCCGCCGGCGGGGACCAGGGCCGGGAGGGAGCGAGGGCTGAGCCCCGGCCGCCGCCGCCGCCGCCGCCGCCGGGCTGTCCGGGCCGCCGCTGCCGGGAGACCCGCCACCAGCTCCGCCGGCCGCGGAGGCGGGAGCCCGGGACGCCGGCCCGGTTGGCGGCGGCGGGTTCCCAGCGCCCCGGGCGGAGCGCCGGGCCCCGCGGGCGGCGCGGCAAGTTCGGGCGCCGGAGGAACCGGACTAAGAGGCGCCGGCAACTCCGCTCCGGGCCGGGCCCGGCTGCGGGGCGCCCGGGCCGGGCGGGCCGGACGGCGAGCAGAGGGGAAGGTGCCTGGGGGGGGGACCCGCGATCGGGGGGATCCGGGAGAAGCGGGGGGCGGGGACCAGCTCTACACCCGGCCAAACGTGTCTATCCCCCTCGCCTCCATGTTGGAAAAACCCAGGCTCCATCTGGCTTCTCGGGAGGGAGCCGGTGGCTCCGGGCTTCCCCCCAGGCTTTGGCTGGCGGGAGCCACCCCCAGCACCCCACCGGGCAGGGCACACCCCTGGGAGAGCCTGGGGAGTCACTACAGAGGGGGGGAAGCCCGCGGGGGGGGGGATAGGCCACCTTCCAGGACTTAAAAAATAATAATAATAAATGAATGGGAGAAAAATAAAAACAGGGAAGGGAGAGGAAAAGGTTAGGCTCTTCTGATCACCGGGAGGAAAAAAATCTGCCCAGGACCTGGTTGCTAAAAGAAAAAGGAGAGAAAAGGAGAGAAGCAGGAAGAGAGAGGGAGAGAGGGAGGGAGAGAAGGAGAGAGAGAGAGAGAGAGAGGGAGGGAGGAAGGGAGGGAGGGAGAGAGAGAGAGAGTCAGCCGCTGCGTGGAAGGAAGCTTAAAGCTTGTGAACTCTTCTTGAACCGAGATTGGAGTCATATGGGCCATAAATCATTGAGACATACTCTCCGCCATTCACAAACTGATAGCCTATTTTAGTCCAGCTTACCTTAGCCACCGACGAGGGGAGAACAGGCAGACATAATATATATTCACATCGAGCCCCAGCGCGAGCGGCAGGCGAGAAATCTCCCCTCCTTGAAGGCAAAGGGAGAAAAGACCCCTGTTTAAGGCGGCGGCGGCGCCCCCTCCCCGCAGCCACCCCGGCTGGGGCGCCCGAGGGGCCGCCGGCCGGGAGCCGCGGCGTCCGCTCCGATTCACTCGGCGGGCGCGGGGCGGGGGGCCGGGGGCGCGGGGAGACGCGGAGCGGACCGAGCGGTGCTTGGGCTGCGGGGCTCGCCGGGGATCCAGCTCCGGGCTCCGCCACGGCCAAGTCGCCACAGTGCGGTTGCCCTATAAGACTGGTACGCCCTACTCTCCGTAACAATGGCCTCTGCTTTTGCACAGGGAGGAAAAAAAAACCACACAGACACATGCACACACACACACACTCACACACTCAGCTCACACACACACACACACACACACACACACCACCTCTCCCCCTTGAGCGAGCTTAGATGCCTGATAAGGAGGGAAGGTGATGGTGGTATTGGGGGAAGAGGGGATGTTTACACCCACCCCCACCCCCATCCCCCCAAAAAAAGGGTAAGGAAAGAAGGTAGAGGTTTGGGATTTTTTGGTGTGTGTGTGTGTGTGTGTGTGTGTGTGTGTGTTTTCATTTTGTAAGAACAGGTACATTTTGAAATGGAGGTTTCGGCAGGCGAGGCAGGGGGAGCCAGGCAAGGCGCTGCTGCAGCCAGTTGGTGCGCCCAGCGCTCGCCACCCCAGGAGCAAACCATTATGCTAATGGGAAGTAGCGGTGGGGAGGCCTCGTCAGAGGCCCCGGCCTCCCTGGGGGTGGGGTGCTGGGCGCCCCTCTGTATTCATCTGCCTGGAACAGGAGGACTTTTTTTTTTTTTTTTTTTTTTTTTTAAGTAGTTTCACTCCTCTGGGACTGGTGGCTGGGGCTCCCGCCCTCCGGCTCCTGCTCCCTCCATCTGAGCCTCCCGGTCTGCTTCTCCTCTCCCCACACCCACTCCATTCCTCCTCTCTCCCCACAAGTTTCCAGACCCAGTTTCCAACTGGTAGGGGGATGGGAGGGGGGAAGACCAGATTTTTAAAAAAAACAGCCCCCTCCCCCTCCTTTTTTTTTTTTTTTTTTGAGAACAGACAACAAGCGGTGAGTGATTATTTTAAAAAACCCAGACCATCTTGCAGGGCGAGGTGGAGGCGGGGGGGGGGGGGGGGGCCTGAGGAGATGGTGACAAAAGGAGGACCCTGTGTTTAGCTTCAGCTCAGGGCGGGCTGGCCATGGTCCGTGAGAACTTCCCAGAGAAGTTCCTGTGCAGATTCTCACCTCTGGGCGGGCAGAGGGGGCTGAGAGGTGCCAAGGGTATTTGTACTTCTAAGAAGATGAGAAGGACTCGCAAGATGGCTCAAGGTGGAGGGACCTGGCAGGAGAGACAGCGGCTAGCTGTTGTGGCTGTGATCATGACTGTTATTCAGAACAAACCTGCTCTCTTAGCTCTGCGAGAGGATGGCTCCCGGCAGAAGGAAGGAAGAGGGTGAAAGCTGAACTTTCCGCAGGGCGTGTGTGTGAGGGCGGGAAGGCCTGTAGGAGGAAGACTGGGGCCAGGAATGTAGGTGTCTGCAGATTTGGCTCGGGGGGTGGGGAAGAGAGAGCCACGTTGGTGGAGGGAAAAGACAAAAAGAGCACCGGACCTTCCCCAGAGCAGGAGGGTTTGCAACTCGGCCTAACTGACTCTGGGCTTAGGGGGTAAAAGAGGAGGCAAGCGGTCTCTCTTTTTCCCCTACCAAGGCAGCTGGGAAAACTTAAAGCAGCCACTGGCCCTGTGAGCTCCCGGTTAGGATATTGGGCTTTTGCCTTCTCCCATCTGGACGCACCAAGGAGAGATGGGACTGGGAGAACAAAG